TACTTTATTTTTCCCCCAGTTGGCTACTCTAAAATACATAGAATTACCAAAACTTTTTATATACCTATCCTAATCCTATTAGAAACTTTGGCATAGCTAAGTAGTATCTTGTGGGGTTGAGAGGTTATTTAATCAAAAGTATGCAGTTTGTCTAAATCATGTTTCATTTGTACCAAAAATAAAATGTGAATTTACATCAGGGGTCTTCAAACTTGGCCCTTTTATGACTTGTGGACTTCAACTCCCAGAATTCCTCAGCCAGGCATGCTGGCTGAGGAATTCTGGGAGTTGAAGTCCACAAGTCATAAAAGGGCTAAGTTTGAAGACCCCTGATTTAGATACCAGTTTTACCAGTTAAGAACTCACCTTAGAAATTACTGCATTAAGAAACTAGAAGAGCATAGTTGAACCGCCTATGTCAGAACTGTTAATGAGATTCTTCTGCATTAAATTTTATTTATCCCAATTTAAACTGAACACTAATATTACTAATATTTACTATAATTAGAAATAGAGGTTGCTGATTTATTTATGAAATATGAGAAGCAAACGCTCTTTTGGATTAGAATTTGAATAAGGATCTTCTGTCTCTCTGACATTCTTGGCCATATAATTCTGATGTATGTATGATCTCCATAACTTCTGGAGGACCTCAACCCTTCTAGTCATACTTCAGAAAGAGAACAGAAATTGTCAAGAGCTGGAATGTAATAGTTTCATCCTTGATTGTTCTTCTAGTTCAGCTGACCAAGAAGTTGACAAATAAAGAAACATATACTCATAGTAATAAAAGAAAATTCATGCAGCAAGCTCAGCTTTCATTTCTCCATCCCCACAAATCTAGTCTCTTCCATCCTGTACAACTCATTTAAACTGGCTATTTTTTAAAAGAAATATTCCATAGCTACATGAAGCCTAAAACCTGGCATCTTAACCACAAATGAAACATTAGTATTAGGGGGATCTGTTAGTTGTGACTTAATATCAGTTGAGTAAAGCACAATTAATATTTTCAAAACTGGAAATACTGTTTTATAGATCCCAGGGGAAGAAATAAGCAAATACTTTCCATTTCTGTCTTTTTCTTAGGCCATCTATTCCTTCTGCCTTCTATTCCTTCCACCCAATTTTCCAAATTCCTTCCACCTAATACAATTTCAATAAAAAACTATTTACAGTGCAGTTTAAAATATAACCCTGCCTCTCTATTTATCTGCAAAAGCCCTTATCTCTGGAAAGAAAGTTTTCCATAGTTTGCAGAAATAACTGTCCTGTGGAATATCATTCAGCCCTTAAATTGCTGCAGGATTTTATGTGGACAGGTGCTGAATTTCTAGACAGATAAAGAGCTGGTATTTGAGCGGTTACTATAACGGTTTTAGTTATTAGTCTTCACTGGCAATGAAAATCTTTGATTTGTGAGTCCGTTTGCCGTTCTAATATGTAGTGAAGGAACTTCCGTTCAGGCCCTCTTCTAAAAGCCTGACCTTTGACATCTGTCTGGCTTTAATCCAGTGTGGATAGTGGCCACTCCCCATCCGACACTGTTTTCCCCTCTACCAGAATTCTGCCCACATTGTATCTGCCCAGTATACCATAGCCAGGGGTCCCCTCCCAGACTGGTTTGGGAGAGCCGTTCCCTGCCTTGTCTCTGTCCCGTCAGGCACTCTTCCACTTGAACGGCCTATTGGGAAGCCTCTTTGTGGTGTAATTGGATTTATCCCCTTGTTCGTTGGCAATGAAAATGTCATTTAGCTAGAGGGAGGTGCCCATTCATCTCCAATTAAATTCAGTCATCTCTTGGGGGAGTGTGACACTATTCAGGCTGCAACAAGCAGCTGCAACTGGAGCTGCTGGGGAAAATATGCCTAGCAAAGCTCACTTCATTCCTGGAAAATTAGGTGGCCTTAAACCAGTGTTTCTCAAGCTTGTTGGCTTTAAGATGTTTGGACTTCAACTCCCAGAATTTCCCAGTCAGCAACGCTGGCTGTGGAATTCTGGGAATTGAAGTCCACACATCTTAAAGCCAATAAGGTTGGGAAATACTGCTTTAATTTGTGGGCCCTTCCAATTCGGAAAGTGAGAGGAGTGTTTGCTGTTATTGCTATAGGGGACTCATAATGGAGTGGACATGTTTTTCAGATCCTGATCATCATTCAGTAGCCCCTGAGTTTATATCTCTCTTTTGCAGTGGCTCCTTTTAAGACATCCAGCCCTTTCCTTCAAGTTCCATTCCTAAAACTTTCTACATAACTATATACTGACCAAAAAGGCTAGGATGGACTGGGCAGAACAGAGAAGCGCATCTATTCAAAATCCAGAGAGAAGAATTTCATTTGCCCAGCCTGATTGATCTCCTTCAATGAAGCTATGTAGGGAGGCTAGGCAGAACAACTGTGATTGTTTTCAGGAGGGGGTCCATGGGTATGTGCCTGTGTGTCAAGGAAGGTCAAGTTGGTGTTCACAAGCATTGTTGGTTTTGGGCCCCTTCCTGAGGATGCTTCCAATTCCCAATCATTTTGAATATTACTCAGTTGTGAGTCATAGCGGCCTCACAGTCAAGTGATCATAATTGGGCGCTTGCTAATTGGCATGTTTTTTATGATGGTTGTAGCATCCTGGGGTCATGTGATCATCATCTGAAATCTTCCCAGGGGCTTCCAACAAGCAAAGTCAATGGGAAAAGCTGGATTCACTTAACAACTGTGGTAACAGGATCATAAAAGTAGGTGAAACTCATTGGATGAATGCATCATTTAGCGATGGAAGTTCTAGTCCCAGTTGTGGTCATAAATTTAAGACTACTTGTAAGTACAACAGAATTTTGTGATTCTGAGCAAACGTGAGATAGTGTGAATGTGCAAATAATCAAGATAAAATGTGTCTAGTCCAAGCCGGGAATAAACAAAATGGAGACTGCTTTAGAAAGAAGGTTGCAGTTTATTGAAGAGCAGAGCCAGACAGAGGGCTCTGGGAAAGCTGACCACATGTAGCTGGGAGTGGTGGGTTTTTATACCTTCTTAGGCCTTTGAGGCTGTTTCCTGTTCCTGTGACATGAACTTTGACTTGTGGGTTAATCCTATTGCAGTGATGGCGAACCTTTTAGAGACCGAGTGCCCCAAAACCGCCTCGCCTCGCCCCTGCCCCCCCACCTCTCCTGCCCACAGGGCCACCCACTACTTCCATGGCCCGCCACAGCAGATCATCCAGGCGGCCCAGAAGCGTTATGGCAGCCACACCCTCTGTCTGCACCCCGCAGCATCATCTGTACACAATGGGGCACGAGGGCAGAGTCTTGTCCCCGCTGCCCAGCTGCCATGTCCTTGGCTGCGCTGCTTCACACAGGCTGCGCCCAGGGCGACTCTCCTCCAGGGGGGCTGCTGGTGAGAAGGGGGCCACGGGGGGTGGCGGGGGTGGGACAATGGTGTGCGTGCCCACAGAGAGGGCTCTGAGTGCCGCCTCTGACACCTGTGCCATAGATTCGCCACTACTGTCCTATTGTACCCTAATGGTCATGTTTTAGAGTTTGGGTGGGGGATGTAGATTTTAGGGGTCTTCGTCTTTCTAATCTCATCAGCTTCTAGCTTCCTGGCTCCAACTTTCCTGAATGGATTATTACATCTGCATATCAAAAAGCTGGTTTCTGCTGAGTTTTCTGGCTGGGGGCTATTAAGAAAAACTGGGCTTGCTTTTCTACCGTTTAACATCCTTTGGGTAAACATATTCTGCCTTTTTAATATTCCCCCCAATATTTTTTTTCTCTGTATTCTTCCCACAAATGCATTGCCCTAAAATTCTGTGTGGTAAGAATACTCACCCAAATCCCTACTTATACGGATGAAAAAGAGAACAGCATACAGTATTAAAAATATCAGAGTTAGTAAAACAGACTTAAGAATGCAGGGGCAAATGAATATCTGAACAATCCTTCCTAGCCAAAATGTTTTTAGTACCAACCAATTCCTTAGAGACAGAACTGTGGGAGTATTGTTTTGCCTTCCTGGATTCTTATAGGTTTGTATCATTTTTCTTAGGGTTAGTCAGCGCTGCTGAGGAATTCTGAGAGTCTCTAAGTCCATGATCTTAAAAATTGTCAAGTTTGAAAAAAAATACTGATTTAGTTCATATCCTGCAAAAGAACATATACTTTCTATTCCCCAATTTCTAATATCACAATCAAGGGGGGCCGAGCAAACGACACTGCTATAGCCAATCAGAGCGTGCCCCTCCTGACCAAAATGCACAGGTCAATCCGCACTTGCTTGCCGACCAGTAAGGTAAACTCCCCTTAATTCCCCGCGAAAAGACAAAGTCATTTCCCCTCGAAAGTGAATGCAGAGACAACGCCAAGCAAGTGGCTCCGGTCCAGGGCGCCGGTGCGAGACTAAATTGCACACGACGCCGACCGCTTCTGCTGCAAGATTTCTTGCTTGCAAAAAACAGGGTTTGGCAATATGGCCAGCGCCCACCGGGCTTCCTTTAACATTGCAACTTGCAATTAATTGCGTCCTCCCGTCTCCCCGATTTCCTCGTCTAGCCTATATCGCTGAAACGCTCGGGAAGACTCCACGCCCAGTTCAGATCCGACCTTGCTATAAGCTTTGCAAAAGTGGGCCAAGTTTGCTTTGTGATGTCACCTCCTGTACACGCAAACAGCCCCCTCCCTCAGCCATTATTTTAATCCAGACAACTTTTTTTTTTCTTTATTGTTAGAAAATGCCATTTCCATTCCCTCTCCGCCCGGTAAGGAATTGCCTTCTGTCATCCCAGAGCGCTTTTGCTGATGTAGTGGCTCGGCGTGCAACCTGTTATTCGACTTGGCGCCTGAAGAGGGAGCTAATTCCACAGTTCCACCTGGAGAGGGCCAACCGCCTTGCTCTCTCTCATTCTTCCTTTCTCTTGAACAATGTCCGGTGATGACGTCCCTGGAAGTCGCCGGGCTAGAGATACTGGACAGTCAGCGGAAGGAGGGAAGGTTGACGTCAGCAAAAGGAGCCCGCAGAGAGAGGCGAGCGGTGAGTGGGCGCGTTGGGGGGGGGGGGGCGAGGTAGTGGTTGCGGCTCCATCCGTACAAATCAATTTATCAGCCTTGAAACCAACGCGGAGCAAATTTGTTGGGATGTAGCCGGATTTTTTTTTTTTTCTGAACTTGCTGGCACTTGGGAAAAGGTTAATCCGGGTCACAAACATACTGTTGAAGCTAACCAGAGAGCAGTCGTGCCTCTGACCATGTATAGAGCGTTCATTTCCGGGCAAGGGCGGTCGGTTTCCAATGACGGGCAGGGTGAGGATTCCCTGAGCTTTATTTGATCCCTTCTGTTGACCAAGTTGAGTATGGCATCTTGTTTTCTAGGATTGAAGCCTTGGCACCAGAAATAATTGTGACATCATCGCTATTTGCTAATAATTTCTCTTGCTGCTTAGTGCCTTTATTATTGGTATGTGCATTTTGAGTATTCATATGTGTGTTCTGAGTATATCTTTTAGCATAAAATGTATGCTAAAGAATGGACTATAAATAGTGTTTTTCAGAAATGTTTTTCCAAACGCAGACAATACAAAGCGTTACCTTTCAAAACCAGGAAATTTATGGCATAAATAGTTGGTCCTAAAAGTGAGGTTCAAGGTTACTTTACGGATTCATGCTGAAATAGGAACTTCCTGGTTTTGAAAGTTAATGCTTCCTGTTGTCTGTGTTTGTAAAAACATTTCTGAAAAACACTATATATAGTCCATTCTTGAGATGGAAATAGGCTCAAGCTGGTCTCATTGCACTGAGCTAAAGTATGCAGGGGGGGGTGGGTTTCTTGCATCTCACCATTCTTGCTTTTTATTCATATATTTTCCAGATTTGCATTTAACACCAAACTAGGATGGGAAGGAAATTCTCTGTAGATAAGACTGTGGGAATCTTGGGAATCCTGGTTTCTTCCAAGGAGTAAGAGAAAGAGTGGTTTTCTTTCTAGGTCTCAGAACAAATTTAAGTTGGGCCATTTGTTGACTAAGAAGTTACATTATGCAATTGTGTATTTTTACTTCAGCTGCTATTTATGTTATTGATAAATTGTTATATTGTTTTTATTCTGTTTTTCAATAGTGTTAGCTGCCCAAAATCTTATATTTGAAATGGTTGACCTAAATAATGCCTCAATAATGTAGTTATTACTTGTTTTTACCTCTGTTGTACATCACCCCAAGTCGCTTTTTTGTGAGATGGGCAGCTGCATAAATTGGTTTAATAAATAAAACATATATTAAATAAGTGAGATCCAGCCCCAGATACCTGGCCTTCCAGAAGAGCCTGAAAACGTGGCTCTGACACTTGGCCTGGGGCTCTCATATGGGTCTGCTACATTGAGGGTGGCTGGATAGAGAAGATACCTATCCCCTAGGCCACCCATCATCTTGGTTTTTACCTTTTCAATCATTTTACTTGTTGTGTAGTCCTTTTTTACTTTTTAGCATATTGTAAGCCTCCGAGAGTTGCTGTATCTGTGAGATAGGTGGCATAAAAAATTAATAAATCTTTAGTAGAATTTTATGATGATTAATTGTATTTTAAGCCAATGGAACATATAATCCTTTTTTTAAAAAAAGTGTAGATGGTGGGTATCTGCAACAGGTATTCTCTCTGAGTCAGGAAGGAAATGTCTTTTCCAAAATGGTGCTCATTATGACATTTTAAAAGCAAAAGGCATGATGCATTTTTCTTACAAGGACAAATATTTTTCTGATGTTTTACAGAAACAAGAATTAATACTTCTGCAAATTTACTTGACTTTAAAATCAAAGTACAAAGATCAGGTAAAATACTGAACTGAAAAGTGGTTCTAATTGAGAGAATAGGATGTGGCATTTTTTTTTCCTCATAAAATAGTTATTAGCTTTATTATTTCCAGTCAGGATTACCAGAGCAAGACTTTGTTTCAACTGATTTTTTTTTCCTGCAAATGAACCAAAGCCTCTAATGTTAGCTTCTGCATTCAAAATCTAAGTCCTTTCATTGTGTCGCCATTCTTCAAAAATGCTAAAATAATTGTACAGAAACCAGCCTTGTCCCTTACAAAATGGAAAGATGGAATCGTGCACAGATAGATTTTGATCTGTATTGTTAACCAATCAACATTTGAAAGTTTGGTGTGGTCATAAAATACCCAGTACTTACAAAAATCCAGAATTTATTTTTCCCTTTGGACTTATACATTCCATTGAAGGTGAAAATGCTAATTATTTATAAATTACAAGTATGTGGCATTTCTGTTCTCTGGCTCAGATGAGGGTATGGAGTGTACATACTGTATAACTAACACTGTACAAAAGAACATAACTGCCGTAGAATATGACAAAGAACATGTTTTTTGTACTTCACCTTGCAGCAATTATTCTTACTGTTTTATGTGAATTATTTCAAAAGTTCCCGAATGCAATGGAAAAAATAATTTCAATTAATTGTGACCCTGAATTATAGAACATTGTAAGAAAATAGCTATTGCATAGTAAATCTATACATGTGAAGGACACAACAGTGGAAAGTTGGAATTCTCATGTATTAGCTATTGTGACTGTAAGAAATGCTTTACTGCTAGAATTATGTATAGTGTTGGTATATTCATCTTATTTGGGTCTCTGTTCCCCAACTGGTAATCATATTAAAAATCCTCCTACTGTAAATTACAGGTGTGACAAAGCAAACACAAGACTACTATAAGGATGGTGCGAATTTTGGCTAATGGAGATATTGTGCAAGATGATGACCCCCGAGTACGACAGACCACTCAGAATAGGGAGAACTCGTCTCGACTCGTGAGGAATGGTGTATGTATTCTGGTTTGCTTAGAATTGTTCAGTGAAAAAAATTCTCCTGTAGTAATCTAGCACTGGAAATTTGAAAAAGGCGCTAGGGAGTATGTGAGAGTACAAAGATATCATTTGTAGCTTTTTAAAGTATCTGTACCTTTTCCCAGGATCATATGGACACCTTCTAAAGCAGCGACCCCCAACCTTTTGGGCACCAGGGACCGGTTCCATGGAGAGAGTTTTTCCGCAGACCGGAGAGGGCATGGTTTCATGTGCTGCCTGCATCCTGCAGATGGGGCTTTGCTTGTTTGCGTGGACTGGTTTCTGGCATGCCACGGACTGGAGCTGGTCCATGGACTAGGGTTGGGGATGCCAGCATGCCAGCAAGTGGGCCGCACAAACAAGCAAAGGTCCATCCTTGGGATGCAGGCAGTATTCAAAACCACACCCCCTCTGGTCTGTGGAAAAACCTTTCTCCGTGGCACCGGTACCTGGTGCCCCAAAGGTTGGGGACTTCTGCACTAAAGCACCGTTATGAATCTGAGCTGTCACCCAGTCCTATCTTCAGCCTTGAATTAATGCTTGATTATTCAGTTTGTTTAATCTGCTCAAAGAGAACTATTTTCAGAGCTAGTTTACATATTAGAAAGATTATACAAAGAACTCTTAATTGGACTAACAGTTTTCCCTGTCCAGAATCCTGTGTCTCACTAGGGTCAATCAGGTACCCTTGATTAAATTCATAAGGAAGACATGAGCTCTCTCTAATTTCAAATGATAATTAGCATATTTAAATGGGCTTAGGAAAGTATCGTAATGGTATGATTTCACAAGTCCAGCTGTATATATGAGTATGTGAGAAGCATATGAGCCTTAAGTGAACTGTTGTTCTCTTTAGCCTTTAATTCTGAAAGGAATCTGTTGAGTGTTCTGTAGTACATCTATGTAGGTGGGCCATTCCTGAGAGAAAACAAGTTGTCATATTCCTGCTTTTGGCTCCTCGTGAAATTATTTTCATTGCATTAATCGTTGCTTTCTATTAATCATTGCTTTCTATTAATCATTGCTTTCTCTTGATGGAATCCACATGCTTTTCTAATCTGCTTAAAACTTCCAAGAGAAATGTGCAGAAATCTTCATATCAGAAAAAGTCCATCTTGAGTTCCCCTAGGATTCTGTTTACGTTTTCTGCTATATTTTAATGCCTCAAGTTATAGTTAAGCATAGGATGGGTGTATATATATATTTGCATAATAGCTTAGGAGTACGTTGGTTAAGGTTTGGTAGGTTTTGCATTGTTTCGCTTCTCTTTTAGACACATATCTATTGAAATTAAATGTTTGAGAAAAGGTTTCTTGCATTCATCAGCTACAATTTTCAGGGCCCTTCTCTATTTCTTATGCTGGCTAGAGCTACTGATTGAGCAATGCCTGCAGGGCTGTGTAAATCAGTTGCAAGATCATGATGTGTACAGTTATCTATGGTGTGAATAAAGCAGGTATTCCTCCCTATTGTCTTATGAATCTATAATTCAGGACTATTCTGTAAGCTAAATATTGAGAATAAGGACAAAATAAATGGAGTAAATTTCCATGCAGCAGAGATTTAAACTATGGGATTCATTATTGCTTATGGTTGATTTAAAAAAAATAAAAGGCAAGGTTACCAGTACTATTAATCAAAATAGGTTGGAATATGTGTTCTGATTTCAGTTGTTACAATGTGAGTGGGCAGGTGTTGTGTGTGCTTTGGAAACGTCTGTATATTTGTGTAGCACCTTCTCCATAAACTTTAGGAGGTGTACAATTATGAAAAAATAAAAAGCATACACAAAGCCAGAGCAATAAAGATATTTAAACAACACATTGTCAACCAACTAACCAATTCTTAAGGAGCTTTCAGTCTCACTTTCATCTCCAAAAACTGCAGAAAAGCAAGGTCATCACTGGGTGACAACAGAGAAGGCCTCTTCTGATTTTGAGGGGGGGCGGGGGGGGCGGAAGGTCCAGGAATTATGGATGCTGAAATCCAGGAAGCCTCCTTACATTTTTCTTAACTTATATTTGTAAATTGGTTTTGAAAAAGAGGCCATTCTCAGCATAATGCCAGTTTAGCGACTGACTGCCTCATTTGGCAACCATTCAGATACCACAATGATGAAAAAGTAACTTTACAACCAATCCTTGTATTTGTGATCTTTGCAGTTCTGTAAAAAAAGAAAGCTAAAATAAAGTTGTAAGCACAGTTGCGGTATTGCTTAGCAATATCTTTGCTTAATGGCTAAGCTGCCGGTCCCAATTGTGGTCGCTAAACAAGGACTATCTCTAGTCCTCTTGGAGCTTGATATTTCTTAGCCTGGCCCATGAGGTGTCGTTTCTCTGTTAAGTACCGTAATCACCACTCTGACTTCTCCCTTTACAGTTCCATTTCTGTTGCTCGAAAGGCAGCTTCGTGTGTTCGTTCACTTTCTTGTGTTTGCTCAACAGGGCTTTTTCAACACAACCTCAAACACTGGTCCTAACCCACCGCAGCAGCAGCAGCAGCAGCGCCAGGATGCAAGGCCTGGGGAACGCTCACCATTTTCAGACATCAATCAGCAGCTGGTGAACATGGGTTTCCCCACCTGGCACCTTGGCAACCAGGTGGTAGAACCAGTGATGTCCATCTTGCTGCTTTTCCTGCTTATGGTGGTGGGCGTGCGTGGCCTGCTCTTGGTGGGCCTCATTTACGTTGTCTCCCACTTAAGCCAGCGATGACATGGACCCCTGCACAGACTACCAGTTGCCCGAGGGATTCAGAGCCAAATATTTTTAATTCTCCAGGCTCAAGAACTTTTGTAAACAGTGTTTTCAAGAGACAGAATTAAGCAACTTGGGAGTATGAGCTAATGAGGATAGATCCTCTTTTTTTTTCTTTCCTTCTCTAGCTTGAAATGAGCCATTTTTCATTCTGGGCCCATGATATTCTGGTAGGAATGATAGATTTTGTTTTTCTTGAGGGTACCATCTCATGGTTATCAAGGGAATTTTTATTTAGGATTTTCTTCTTTAGGATCGGTGGTGAGAGCTCAATTTCTGATAGAGAAATATTTAAAAGTAGGCAGGTTTTTTTAAAAAGTCAGGTGGGAAATCATTCCTTCCATATAGGTGAGAGAACTGGAAAGTCAAAGAGAGAGAGAGGTTCAGGGTAATGTACAAAAGTAGACCTTGGGACACAACTTGGCTAGTTCACATTGTTGGAATCTCTTCCTCTCTGACATATAAACTTTGGTTGTGTGAAATGGGCATTGGGTTGGGATTAGCCAGTGATTGTGAAGAAGAGCCATTTTATTGTCTTTGGGGTCAGTGAGGCAGTCATGTTGAGATCACTGCATTTTTATAAATCAAATCTCTGGGTGTGTAATATTCAAAGGTGACTTCTTGGATATTTATCTGGAGGCTGCCTGGTGCCTCAGTCAGCCCATTCTTTGGTAATATTAAATACAGAATACAAATGCAGTGTTTGTATGTGTTGCTCTTGGGGTGGGGGTTGTTACTGAATGAGACTGCAATTCATGTATGTAAAATGATACTTGTTGCATCAAATAAGTAGAATTAGTGGGACAGAGCAAACATCCATGTAACCTAATGAAACAGTGCTCCCAAACGCTTTCTCTGCTAGTATTGGCTGCCTTCTAAAATAGTGCAGAGGAACTGAGTCGAAGCAAAGAGAAAGTTATTTGTAAAACCACCGTCAAGACTCTAATTCCAATTACAAACTGTTTTTTCCTCTCTTTATATACCCCTTCTTAGCATAGTTGCCTTTCTTTTTTGGTTTCATTTGGGCCTATTCGCAGGCTTGAAAAAGAAATAAAAAATACTTACCTGCTTCAGCTCAATTTTCATTTTGTAAATTTAGGGCAACTTGCAATATATTTAAAGCTAAAACTTAAACATCTATAATTTAGTTATAAAGCATCATAGGGAACAGCAAAAAATCTATTTCCTTTTGAAAAAGATTCTAGTTTTAAAAATGGGAGAATTTGTTGGAGGAATAAATATTTGAGCAGCTACAAGAGCAAAACAAAAGTGTGGAGGGTCTTTGGGGGGGAAAAATTCAAGCTGCAACTTAACTTGGTGAATTTCAGTTCCATAAATCCCTTTTCCTAATTTTCACTACTTAACATTTAAGAATGAAATAATGGGTTTAGCTGTTTGCCACATATGTAATTCATAAGATTGTACTATGAGTAGAAATTTCTAAATGCAAGAGAGATGTAATGGAACAGTGAGTTGATCAAAGACCTCAAATGAATTGCATATTTTAAATGGCAAATTCAGATAATCTCAAGTGTTTTTCTCTGTTGTAAGATAAATATGTCTGCCATTGTAGTTTTCTGGATCTGAAATGCAATCAGTTTATGGAATGCAATAGGGTTACTTGAGTGAGGTGTATAAAAAACTTTCTCATACAAAATATTGCTTCTTTTGGGGGCAGAATAGTCAATAGGAAATAGACTTCTAAAACACACTTCAGGGGTTCCTAAAAATGTCTTATCCAGAAATGGAAAAGTTTGAAACTTGGATGTCTAGTCTGATTACACTATATTTCCCTTCTACCTTGGTCAGGCCTCAACTTGGATTACTGTTAAGTGCTGGTACCTTAAATGGGTTTACTTACAGAATGCCTTCAAAATCTGGGACCCATGAGTCCCATGGACCTGAAATTTGGCAAATTTTATAATATATTTTATGGCATAAAGACTATCATAAAGCATTATATGACATAATACAGGGGCCTTCAAACTTGGCCCTTTTATGACTTCAACTCCCAGAATTCCTCAGCCAGGCACGCTGGCTGAGGAATTCTGGGAGTTGAAGTCCACAAATCATATAAAGGACCAAGTTTGAAGACCCCTGACATAATACATAATGTCACAAAAGAGTTCCTGTGCTGATGTTTGACTGCTATGTACAGTTCACTATGGGCTATTTTCAAGGCAGTTACATCTCTGAATGTATCCCAACTTTTCTAGCGAAGGCAGTAATTAGAAGTTAGGCCATTACTGAAAGCATTGAATCTGGTAAGAAAATATCTCTGAAAGGATGATCAATCAGGTTACAAATTGCCTAGTAGAGGGTTAAAATTTTTATCAAACGAGAGCAATGAAAAGTCTACTCCCACTTGGAGAACTGATAAGTGAAAGAATTGCTCTGAAAATCTTGTCAGAATGGCTAATCTCAGTTGTAATCTCACCTTCTGTAAAATATATTTATTATATAATCAATTAAAATAATGATGTACCACTGTAACTATTTGAAAAGTGCTTCTCTCCTTAAAGGTTTATCCTCCCAAGGCATTTTTATTCTCATTTGATGGAGTGGAAAATTGAGCTAAATTCCTGTCAGTAAATCATTGGTTTGATCAACGGTGGGGAGTCAGTGTCACTCTGTGTTGGTCAAAGCTGGAATGGCCAGTGTTAAAAGAGTTTTTGAAAGTTGTGGTTTAGCAATATCTAAACATCCCCTACACTTAGATCAGTGGTTCTCAACCTTTTTAATGCGACCCCAACCGGTCGTAAGTCGAGGACTAAACCGGTCGTAAGTCAAGGACTAAACCTGTCGTAAGTCAAGGACTAAACCTGTCGTAAGTCAAGGACTACCCAACCAGTCGTAAGTCGAGGACTTTCCCTGCCCGGGAGCGCCGCGCATGTGTGGTTCCGCCCCCTGCGCCGGCCGAGGCGTAGCTGGCAAGCGGCAGAGACGGAGCAGGCCGACCACCAGCTGGCCCAGCCCACGGGAGGTAAGGCACCCGCCGGAAAAGGGGAAAAAAATGGCGGACAAAAAAAATGGCGGCCAAAAATATGGTGGACAGCCTTGCTTGGCGACCCCCATGAAATGGTCGATCGACCCCAAATGGGGTCCCGACCCACAGGTTGAGAACCACTGACTTAGATGAACCATATATGTAAGAACATGAAATTAATGTAGAGGAAAGTAAGGTTCTACACTTAGGCAAAAAAACCCAAATGTCTAGGTACAGGTTTGGTGAAATTTGGCTCAATAGCAGTAACTGTGAGAGGGATCTTGGAACCCTAGTGGACGATCATTTAAATATGAGCCAGCAGTATGCGGTAGCAGCCAAAAAAGCCAATGCAATCCTAGACTGCATTAAGAGAGGGAATCAAGATCACATGAAATGTTAGTACCATTTTATAAGGCCTTGGTAAGATCACACTTGGAATATTGCAACCAGTTTTGGACATCACAATATAAAAAAGATGTTGAGACTCTGGAAAGAGTGCAGAGAAGAGCAACAAAAATTATTAAGAGGTCTGGAGGGTAAAACGTATGAAGAATGTTTGCTCCCTTTCCTTGTTTAGTTTCCAACCCTTGCTTCTTTGCCTTGCCTTCTGGTGCTTTGGAAAATAGTTTGACTCCCTCTTCTTTGTGGCAGCCCCTGAGATATTGGAACACTGCTATCATGTCGCCCCTAGTCCTTTTCACTAAACTAGACATACTCAATTCATGTAACGGTTCTTTGTACGTTTTAGCTTCCAGGCCCCTAAAGCTAAAAGTTTCAGTTTTAGCTGAAACTGTTGTAAAAAGTGGCTATGTTGCTATGGAATGCTGCAAATGGCTGCAAATGCAGCCCGTTTTCCAAAGTTTGATCACAGGATTGCAGGGGAGCAGGGGGATTGTTGGAATTTTGATGGATTCATAAGTCATAAGCCATTGTAAATTTTGGTTGTAAGTCAAGGACTACCTGTATACCCACAAGCCAATCTGTAGGTGTAGATGGAATAACACAACCCAGCAGCTTTCTAGGGAGATAAGGGTCTGCCTTTAGGATTGTGTGGCACAGATAATTTTGTATTGCATCTTCTCTGTATCCTTCTGCAACATAATAAAAAAGGAGTAAGTTTTTCAATGAAACAATTTGGTTTTCTTTATTATTATTTTTATTTATAATTTATTATTCTTATTCTTACCATGCTAGTAATTTCTGGTCATGTATGTCTCCTTCCAAATTCTCAGAAGTCATCAAGATACAGCACTGCTTTGGCTGGAGTAGGAGCATCCTGCCATTGACTTATCAAGAGACTTTTTGATCTTTCAGTCCTTTGAATTAGGTGACAACATGGGGGTGTTTCTTTCCTCTTTGTAGTAAAAGTAAACCTCAATAAAAACATGCTTGCAATATTGAAATACGGTTCCAGTCACTGCTTTTGGAACAATTACCCAAAGGATATCAGTTAATTTAGCAATTTGTTTTTTAATCTCCGCTTTAGCCATTTCTGTTTTTCCCATTTCCACCACTAGATGACACTGATCTATTGCTTACTTGACTCCACTGAGAATAAGTGAACATTGCAGTGAAATTAGAAATGTGGAATAAAATCCATTTAGAAATAAGAAAGGTGCTGAGATTTTATGGGCGACACCTAGGAAAGATGCTGGTATTCCTATGTGAAGATAACTGTGAGTTAGCCTGAACATGTTCTCAAGAAGCTACAGTAGAAGTTACCTGAAACCAACACATTCCATCATTAACAGAAGCTACCTGCTGTCAGAGGGGCCATTTCCATAGGGGGAAAGTGATGTTGCATACATGATAATCCCATTTTGTCATCTGTATGATGTCATGCATATTGTCATTGTGTGTTCAACTGGAAACCAGCTATACCTGTCTCTAGAAACAGACCCAATAGCAATGGTCCATAGAGTGAGGTCAAATTTCTTTGTTTTAGATAGGGCTCATAGTATCTTCTAATGTAGGGGTGTCAAACTGCTGGCCCGCGGGCTGGATGTGTCATGCCAAAACCACGCCCACCCCAGCTCTGGCAATGGGGAAAAAAAGGCGATACATTGCGACACATCACATGACGTGAGTTTGACACCCCTTTTCTAATGTATCTCTAAAAAAACGGATACTGGAAGTCCTTAACAACAGTTCATTTAGTGACCATTCAAACTTTCAGCATCACTGAAAAAAAGTGACTGATGACCGTTTTTCACACAACCGTTGCAGCATCCCCATGGTCACATGATCAAAATTCAGATGCTTGGCAACTGGCTCATACTTATGACGGTCGCAGTGTCCTGGAGTCGTGATCAGCTTTTGTGACCTGACAAGCAAAGTCAACGGGGGAAGCTAGATACACTTAATAAATATGTTGCTAACTTAACAATTGCAGTGATTCACTTAACTGGCAAGAAAGGCCGTAAAATGGGGCAAATTTCACTTAACAAATGTCTTGCTTAGCAACATAAATTTTGGGCTCAAAATTTAGGACGACTTAGTCGTTCTAAGTTGAGGACTACCTATATAAGCTTCTGATCTTTGAAATTTCTTTTGAACGCCTATTTCCATATACTTGTACTGCATGTCAATTACTTTGCCAGGGTGATGAAGCCTGTCT